CTGACTTTTATTATTATTATTATTATTTTAGATTTAAGATTTTGTTTTCGGTGATAATGAAGAATGTAAGTTTGAAAAGTAACTAAGGAACCGGCATTAGAACTTCCTTAGTCATTAGGTTGTCATTTTATTAACCATTCATGAATTATAAGCCACATTGGACAATTATCAGAAAACCCCCCTTCATTTTCAAGATATCAGAAAACCCCCTTTTAGTGTAGGGGGGATGAGAAAACATTCTTTTGACTTTGAGATTTTATTTGAAAACCCCTCTAAATTTAGAAGGTTTTTCTGTAAAATCTCAAAGTTAAAGAGGTTTTTTTATAACTCCTAATCCTAGGGGAGTTTTGTGATAATCTATATACCTAAAGGAGGTGTCTTTTGATATTTTGAAAGTTAAGGGTTTTTTTTTCGATAATCGTCCCAAGTTAAAGGGGGTTTTCTGATATTTACCCTGAATTGTATCCTATTTTATTAGGCTGTAACATTTTTGTGTGGTTTATTTACACGGTGGTGAGAATCAACATTAGTTTATGTTTGTAACTTCATCATTTAAATGATCCTCTACTACCATCTTATATATATATGAAAGGGCTTTTTAGATCTTAGACTCTTAATCATAAGTAATTTGATATTTATACCCTATGGAGCAATGATCAGTGTACTATTACTCCATGTTTACTTGTTAACTTCATCATTTTGCTAGCCTCTTACGAATTGGAGAGAGAAGTAGAGGAAATATTTGCAGCAATTTCTCTTACTCATCTTCAACTTAGATGCTCTCTCATCTGAGGACTAATAATCTTGAGGGTTTTTCTTTTGGAAGCCATCTAAAAAATAGGGTCATTTTACATAAATTATCTTTCATTTTTAATTTATATATAAACTATCTTTAAAGTGAGTTTTTGTTCCAATCAACCACCTCTCAATCAAAATTTTTTATTGAACAACCAAAAATACCCATAAAAACTCACATTTAAAATATGACTCACTTTGTTAATGTTTAGGACTAATTAGGATACAAGTCACGTACCTTAAACGCGTATTGTTTAAGGTTATTTTTTATTTTTTAGGGGCTGTTTGGTTCGTTTCCTAGATATAGGGAAATGCATTTCCATGTACAAAAACACAAGTTTTGAGTTTTCCAAACTTTTCCAAGAAATAAATTGTTTCGCTTTGGTTCGCACAAAAAAATGGTGGGAAACCAATGTATTTATTTTTCTTGTGTTTGGTTCGCATGGAAAAAAAGAAAAAAACTTTTGTTTATATGGCAAAAAGCCGACGTGGCTGCAGTTTTCGTCGATTTCACGAGGTTGAGGAAGGAATTAGGGGAGAGAAAAAAAATCTGATGTGGCGGCGATTTTCACCGAGTTTCTCTTCTTCAAGCCTAGCGAACCAAAGATGGGAAAAAAACTGACGGAAAGCTTATATTCTACGTGACCACGAAAAATCTGATGTGGAGGCGGTGTAAAACTTTTCCACTGAGTTAAAAAACGAACCAAACAGCCCCTTAGTGCAGATTTGGTTAGGAGGTGGTTGATTGGAACAAAAAACCTACTTCAAATATAATATGTGTATAAATTAAAAGTGAAAGGTAGTTTTTGTAAAACGACCTTTAAAAATTTTAAAGGTGGTTTCTATGAAAAAAATCCTAATCTTAAGTATTGTTAAATATATTAAACTCAATATTATCAAAACAAGACAAGAACAAATCGTCGAGCCTATTATTTCCACCCAGAACCAACTACTCTAGTAATCAAATTCACCACCCAAAAAAAAAAAGGAAAAAGGAAGAGGAAAAAGAACAGAAAGAAAAGAAAAGAAAAAGCAAACTATTAGTGGATGTATTCAATGGCGGAGCCGGAGGTGCAGGGGTGACCCCCTGGCTTTTTACAATGAAGGGCAATAGTATGAATTTTTTAATACTAGCCCCTAAACTCTTTCATATTTGAAAATTATCCCCCAACTCTTGTTGGTTTTGGTCGTGTGAAGAACGAAACCTGAAACAAATCCGCGAGGCTAAAAAATCTCGGGTCGGTCGACCGACGAAGTGACCCCGGTCGACCGAAGAGACTACAGAAAACGAGCTTAGGAACACGCTCTGACCGGTCGACCGATGCTGTGTTGTCGGTCGACCGAGGGTGACAAATCAGTCGACCGAATGTGATGAACCGGTCGACCGAAAAGGTGCACAAGCAGATGTTGGGAATTTAACGCTGAAACCCCTAATGCAACAGAAACGCAGTATAGAAAAAGTACACCAAGATTTAATGAGGTTCGGCAACTGCCTACGTCCTCGGGAGCCACACAGATAATTTCTTATTAATCAAACAAGAAATTACAATTTAGGAGCAGATCTCAAAACTGAGATTTCTCAAATAAACACTGTAGCTACAGTGTTAATAATCAAAGGGTATGAACCCTTTCAATTCTCACTTGAGAATAAATACCCCACAATTAAAACCCCTCTTTAATTCTCTCTCTCTCTTCTTAAATCCCTCTTTTAATCTCCCCTCAAAATCCCGTTGAGAGCTGGAGATGAAAAAATCGCTTCTGCGATTTTGGGGCAGCCGCCGCCAGAGAAGAAGAAATCGAAGGAGAGGGGAGGGAGAAAAACAGCAGCGAAACCCTAGGGCCAAAGGGGGTATATATAGGTGGATTGAAGGGCTGGCGACAGCCTGTCGCCAGCGGCTAAACCTGACGCAAAGGTCAGGTTCGAACGCAGAGCAAAGGGGGGGTTCGAACGCCGACTTCGAAGGGTGCGTTCGCCGAAGTGTGCGTTCGCCGAAGTGTGCTTTCGTCGAAGGGTTGCGTTCGTCGACTTCGCCTGCGTCATCTCTGCCATTCTCGAGCTCGTCGGAGCTCGTCGGAGCTCCTCCGCCGTCGGAGGTTTGGTTTCCACCCCCAAATCTAACAGCAGATCCTGTAAAGATGACGTTCTGGCCGGTCGACCGACTCACATGGTCCGGTCGACCGAAATCTGTTTTTTTTCCACTTTCCTAATTGATTTGGGATTCTGTTTTGGGCTGGGTTTATATATATATCCTAATACATTTTTAGGGTTAAGTAGAACATAGAAAAAGAGGGTTTTGAGAGGATTCTTTCAGAGAAAGAAAAACCTATTTGTGGGCATTGTAATCTTCTTCAATTAATTAAAGTTTTATGGTATGGCTCCCGAGGACGTAGGTACATTACCGAACCTCGTTAAATATGGTGTGTTCCTTCTTGTTTATCTTTCCTGCAATTTTTCTTTTATTTGCAGTGATTTTCCTACTTGTTAAACTCTTAGCACAAGATCGGGAAGAGCACGTGTTCGATTGATTGTTTCAAATCCCCAACAACTTTTTCCATATTTTAGTTATCCTCCAAATCTTTTATGTTTGAAATTAGTCCCTCAAATCTTCCTACCTGCAATTAGTCTTCCGATTCTTTTGAAGTGTTTGAAATTGCATTTTATTACATTTACCATCCAATTTCATACAGTTAATTATGCATTAATAAATAGATATGTGAAATAAATTTACTATGTTCATGTACTTCTTCAATTATTTTATAGATGTGCTAGTTAAAATTATTTTATTTTTTCTTATTATGTTTAAAATAAGTTTAATAGTATAATTTATAATGTATTTTCAATTTGTCAAGTCTTCGGCAGCATCGGGCAATACATTTTTAAAAAAATAGACTTTA